TGGGAATGTTATCCCAAATTAAAGATACATGATAAAACAATGTAAACTTTGTATGCTAATTTAAAATATAACCAAAAAATGCGAGCAGAGAGTTCTTCCCTGAGACTGATACTCCAACCAAGTAGCATGCATGGCGATAACCCAGAACACCGGCACAGATGTAGCCCATGACAGTTCAGTCTCCTAGTGGGTTCCATAGTGATGGGAACAAGGACTGTCTCTGACATGAACTGATTGGCCTGCTCTTTAATTACCTCCCCCTGAGGGGGAACAGCCTTACCAGGCCACAGAAATAGATAATGCAGCCACTCCCGATGAGACCTAACAGACTAGATTCAGAAGGAAGGAAAAGAAAACCTCCCCTACCATTGGACTTGGGGAGGGGCATGCTTGGAGAAGGAGGAGGAAGGGAGGAATTGGGAGGGAAGGAGGGAGGGAACTACAAGGGGGATAAAAAGTAAATAAAGTATAATTAATACAAAATATATATAATCTTAAAGTTAAAAGAAGAAAAAAAAAGACTAAAAAGACTAATTTCCATGCGTGCATGGATCTCAGAAGCTATAGGCCACTAGATGAAAATCTCAGCATAAATTATTGGATGATTTATTATGAATTCTTTATTAGGTAGGTGTTGTTGGTTATTAATATTTATTATAGATTTATCTTTTAGTTAAACAGTAGTTATTCCTAAACAAGCTGTATACCCAAATTACCACACATAGTCTAAGATTTATTTAATTAACCTAGAGTACAATGCTGGGGAATAGTTACTCCATCCTAAACCTCCAAGCCCACATAGTTTCCTCCCATTCAGATTTCCCACATTATATGTGCTTTTAATCATATCATAGATCTGGTTCATCTCTCCTCATGGTTCTAAGTCTTCTCCTGCTGATTTCTGCTCTCCGACTCCTCCCACTTGCTTCCTTCTCCTCCCCTCCAGAACAGAATGTCACACCCTATTCTTTCCATTCCACATCATTAGCTGGTTCTTTTTCTGATAATATGGAGAACAAATAGTAGCATGTTTACAGAAACTTGAGACAGATGATGTTTAGAATAAACATTGCAATGCAATGTCAATATTAAAACCAGATAGGGGGTAGAGATATAAGCATTTGAATGAACAACGGTAAATTGTAAACATTCCACAAGAACAGTATACCAACAGTTAGGACTCAGAAGTCCCAAAATTGGTGGATTCTTTTATTGCTTTTCATTGACCACCATAGTGAGATATTGACATTTTATTGTTATAAACATTATATACTTTGGTTTCAGAACACAGGAAAATTAATCTAAATTGAGCTGGACACTGGATAGATGTTCAGTAAGCTTCATAGTACTGGTAGATGTAATATAAACCCAGAAACAATGCTGGGTCTGACTCAGCAATAGATCCTATGTGCTGTAATATAGGAAACACTTACATATGCATGTTACTAGGAAAATAAGCTCGCTTGTGAAATAGTGACATGACTGCTGCGAAGTTACAAGTTATTTGAATGGATATCAGTTACACTGAAGGTAAATCACATTAATATCAGAAAACTGATAAAAAATGATAACTAGGGTGGTAAAAATCTCAAACATTGCCTACAATTATTATTTTGCTAGAAGAACATGTTTCTAATTAACCATAAATATCTGTGTTTGTATTAATATATGAGTGTTGTTCTCAGCTTGTAGGAGAGAAATTTTACTCTGTGTGTTTCAGTTAATGAATATACAAGCAGGGAGGATTAAGTGCAGAGAATAAGTAGCTTTTGAGTGCCTTTACCTATATAAGCATCTATATTACTGGATACTTAGTTCAGGCAACATTGTGAATGACAGTGTAGAAAAGAACCAGAGGATGAAAACAGTGCTATAAAATGCTATTTTCCAGGCATAATATGGCTGTTACAACAATGAAGTCATCAGTGGTAGTTACCTGCACAAGACATATACAAGACTGGGCGTACAACTATCCCTCATGGATGAGGTGAATTACTCCCAAAGGAACAATAAACGGTGAATGACTGCTGGGAGAGGTCAAGACTCACCCATTTCTCCGTTGTATAGTCTCTAATATAGTACTTCTGCTCAAAAAAATAATTTCTCACTCAAGCAGCTAAATGCACTGGGTCACAAAGCGAAATAAATAAGACACAGAACGTGAGGGTGAGTGTTTGAGGAAAGGATTTCTGAAGAAATAAGTGTAGGAAGGTAGAATAACACTGGCATAAATGACCAAAGTACATTGCATATTTGTATGTGCAAAATTGTGAAATAATAAATAAAATATTCATATTATGTAGAAAATAAAATCTTGTAAAGAATTAAACTATATCATAAGAACTATTAAATGATCCAAGTACTCCATGTGAATGTGCAAAACTGTAAAATAATAAATTAAAATTCATTTTATTTAGAAAAATAAAATCTTGTAAAGAAAGTAAGTTGTATCATAAGCACTACTTAATTGCACATTTCAATTGTTTTCAGTATATTTCCATAAATTATATAATGTGCTGTGATTATACCCAATCACTCCCATCACTGATGCATAAGTTTTGGTACATCCAACAATTATTCCTACACGAGTTTGACATTCGTAAACTTTAGTAGTTAAGCCAAATGTGGTGTTTGTCTTTTTAAGTCTGGCTTGTTGCCCTAAACAAAATAAATGTTTGTTCCATAAGCTTTGCTGCAAATGACAGAATTCTGTTTCCTTTTATAGCAGGACAGTATATTGTAGTGTACTGTAATTCACCCACTTACAAGCTTCTAAGTACTGAGAAGAGTTTCATATTGCAGCCAAAGGGATAATTTTGCAATAGTTGTTGACATTCAGGCAGCCCTTTGATTTGCGGATTCTATTTCAAAGGAGAGTACACCTAGATGGTATTAGATCCAACTACAGCAGCAGGCTTGAATTTTCTTCTCTTGGAAAGATATAATAGCCAATAAAAAATAGTGTTTAGTTACCCCCATAATAAACCTGTAATTAGTGAAGCTCTGAGAGTATCATGCCAATTTGGTCATTCTCATATCTCATGAAGACTATGGCTGAGTATTGTCTTAATGACATTGGCATCATTAATGATTAAAGTATAAATTAAAATAACAACATAGGAAACAAAACATTAATGTGCAAATTAACTAAATAGAAAGGAATCTGGCTAAGGTAGTCCATGCCTTTAATCCCAGCACTCAGCAAGGCAGAGTCAGGGAGATCGCTGTGAGTTTGTGGACAGCCGATTCTACAAAGTAAGACCAGGATAGCCAAGGCTAGACAGAGAAGCCACATATTGAAAAAATTTAAATAAAAAGAAATATGGAATTTATAAAGAAATTTATATTTAGTATATTACTCTCAGAGTTTAATAATGAGATAACTTGTCAAATGCAAGATATTAGTGTGAACAGTTCACTGTCCTATAATAACAAATTTTAAAAAATCAACATTGCTCCCTAAAATATTTTCATGCATGGGAAAATATAAATAACCAAAATATGAAATACAAAATGAAAATTTAGGACTTTGCAATAAGAAAATTTGGAGCAGTGTAATAAGTATGTAATGAACATGGTAAATTTAAAAAGAATAATGGAAAAATTATTAAAATTTTATAAATACATTTATTTGTAAATATAGAACTTATTAATGTATATCATTAATTGAATTGACCATTTTGAAGTCAGTGTGTGTGTGTGTGTGTGTGTGTAATCATATAATAGACTATACAGGTTATATACTATACTGTTAAATAGTGCACCCTTTCAATTACCACTTTAGTCACATAACAAAGTCCTTGCAGTTAGATAAGCCAACATGACCAATTTTGTATAATCAAAGATTTTTAGTACAATGTTCTTTGGTTCATAGAACCTCTCCTATGTACTGACATACTCTTCCTTATTAGGTTCCACATATGCTTGAAAAGTAGAGTAAGTTACTGGTTAATATTAATCATCAGTGGCACACTTAACACAGTCATGAACAAAGTCGTGTTCTATAAATCGAGTTATGGTTTTTACTTTGTTCCCCGTATTATTTTGATTCAACATATTTACTACTGATTCACCTTAAAGTCTAGTACCATCTAGTTATTAAGAAAAATGTCTCCGGTGTTATTATAGGTGTGTGCAGGCAACAAATTAAGAAATAGCTTTCTTTAGATCCATGAGGTATTTTTTTCAGAAACCTCTCTCTCTCTCTCTCTCTCTCTCAGTCCACAAATATCTAATTCTCTTGATGAAACCTTCCATAGGGCTTGACTATGACTTATGCTTGTCCTTCCATATTTTATATTTCACTGAACTGTCTGATGCATAATTATAAATGGCAGTTAAATGTGTATACTGTGTAAATATTAATGGTTTATGTTTGATAAAGTGTTACAAGACTGTGTATTCACTACATTTCAAATGTTATTTTTGTCTATGTGTCAATGGGATCTGTAAAGTTGAACTGTACTTCATTTTGAGAATATTGAGAGTAACTGGACATCTAATTGTGTATTATCTTGTATCATTTTAAGAAAAATGATGGGGACCCAAGATGGCGGCGACCAGCGTGCACCGTATTCAGAGGAACTGAAACTCCAAATTGGTGACTCAAGGGGCTGTGGAACCCAAAACAACGATACGAGGAGTCCGGGGAGAAGGGGGGTAAACCCTGATCTAAGTCCAATAGGACACAGGCCAACCACGGACATCTCCATGGGCTTCTCCTAGGGAATCGATTCCTGGGCACTTTCCCATAATGGGCAGGCAGAAACAGCAGTAGAGGTGGCCAAGCCAGCAGCAGAGGGGACCAAGGTACAGCAGCCAACAGGGAAGCTGCAATGCAGCTATGGAGCAACTAGCAGCTGAAGCAGAGGAGGCACCCCACAGTGCACACAGCACACCTGCACACGGAGCTGCTTGCTCCAAGCACAGATCTCCCTCCTTGATGTTTGAAGATGAGAACACTCCAACACCCCCCCCCCGCCTTTTCCCCCACGACCTACCTCCTATTTCCAGCCTTGCTGGAGGGGGAAGTAGCAGAGGAAGCATGTAGCATTCCCAAATCAGAGAGCAGATCCCAGCCTGCTGAGCTCACAGCTTTTAGCACAGAGCACAGGGCTGAACAAACAGAGCCTGCAACAGAGTAATAGTCCCGCCCACAGTATCAGCCACAGACTCCAGAGTCCAGCCTGCAGAGCCCTCTACAGACCGGAGACAAAGGGGTATTCAGGTAACTGGTGCAGGTGCTTTGTGCCTGCAATCTGCACTTGCTAACTGTGCCAGCATCCACATACCCTCCTGTGCTTGCTCCCAACCCCCATATCCCAAGAACCTACACTCTCTAGCATTCCCCTTCAAGGCGCATGCACGTGCACACTGGCGCGCACGCGCTTACTCCCCTGAAATAACCAATGTGCGCCAGCGGTTTTCCTTCCTTAGGTACAACTTTAGCAGCAGCACACACTCTCAAACCACTGGACCTCCCTGATCTTCCTGAAGAATACTCCAGAGACCAGAGTAAGACAGCTCCAGTCTGAAGTTCAGACTCAAGGATAAAACAGTGAAGATCACATATAAGCAAATGGCCAAAGGTAGGCGTAAAAACTCACCCAACAAAAACCAGGACATGATGGACCCATCAGCAAAGCCCAAAATCAATGGATATTTTAACTCAGTGGAAACACAGGAAAATGAATTTAAAGCTATGCTTATGTAGTTGTTAGAGGCACAAAAAGAGGAAATGAACAGAACTTTCAAAGAAATACAGAAGACTATAACTGCCCACATACAGGAACAATTAGAAACATATAGAGAAGAAACAAACAAACAAACAAACAAACAAAAAAAAAAAAAAAAGGAGCCACATTCACTCAGATGCAGGAAATGGTCCAAAGCATGAAAACAGAACTAGAATCTATAAAGAAAAACACAAACAGAGAAAATCCTGGAACTGGAGAACTTAGAGAAAAGATCAGGAACCACAAAGGTAAGCATCATCAATAGAACACAAGAGACGGAAGAGAGAATCTCATGGTAAAGATACACTGGCTGAAATTGATTCCTCCCTCAAAGAAAAGGTAAAATTAGAAAAGTTCCAAACATAAAACAAACAAGAAATTAAGGAAGCCACAAAAAGACGAAACCTAAAAATAATAGGAATAGCTGAAAAGGAAGACTCCAGGCTCCAAGGACCAGAAAATACTTTTAAGAAAATCATAGAAGAAAATTTTCCAAACTTAAAGAAAGAGATGTCCATAAATATACAAGAAGCCTACAAAAAACGAAATAGACTAGACCAGAAAAAGAATACTTCACATCACATCATAGTCAAAACTCTAAACCTACAAAACAAATAAAAAATATTAAAGGCAGCAAGGGAAAAAGGCCAAGTAACATATGAAGGTAGACCAATCAGAATCACCCCAGACTTCTCATCAGAAACTATGAAAGCCAGAAGGGCCTGGGCAGAGGTCATGCAGTCTTTAAGGGAACACAGATGCCAACCCAGACTGCTATACCCAGCAAAACGTTCTATCAACATAGATGGAGAAAACAAAATATTCCATGATAAAACTAAATTTAAGCAATATCTACACAGCAACCCAGCCCTACAAAAGATACTAGAAGGAAAACTCCAATCCGATGAAAACAACTACACCAAAGAAAATATAGGATACAGATAATTTCCTAACATAAAATTAAAAAATTAAAAAAAGCAATGAATCATAGTAAGACTACCAACTCCACAATAAAAGGAACTAACAGTCATTGGTCACTATTATTTATCAACATAAATGGTCTCAACTCTCCAATAAAAAGACACACACTAACAGAATGGTTGAGGAAACAGGATCCAACATTCTGCTGCATCCAAGAAACACACCTATGCAAAAAAGATAAATACTACCTCAGAGTAAAGGACTGGAAAAACGTTTTTCAGGCAAATGGACCCAGAAAACAGGTGGGGGTAGCGACCCTAATATCTAATAAAATAGACTTTTAACCAAAATTAATCAAAAAGATAAGGAAGGGCACTTCCTACTCATCAAACGAAAATTCCACCAGGAAGACATCACAATTTTGAACATCTATGCCCCAAATACAAGATCACTACATTTGTAAAAGAAACATTATTAAAGAAGACATGGATTCCAACACCTTACTAGTGGGAGACTTCAATACTCCTCTCTCACCAAGGGACAGGTAATCCTGTCAAAAGAAAAACAGGGAAACAAGGGCACTTACAGGAGGCCCTAAATCAAATGGACCCAAGTCAAAAGAGTATACCTTCTTTTCAGCACCTCGTGGAACCTTCTCCAAAATAGACCATATAGTTGGTTACAAAGAAAACCTTAGCAGATACAAGAAGATTGAAATAATACCTTGTATCCTATCTGAACATCATGGTTCAAAGCTGGACGGCAACCACAACAGAACAGCAAAAAGCATGCACATACATGGAAACTGAACAACTCACTACTCAATGACAGCTTGGTTAGGGAAGAGATAAAGAAATAAATTAGACTTCCTAGAATTCAATGAAAATGAAAGCACAACATACCCAAACTTATGGGACACAATGAAGGCAGTACTAAGAGGAAAGCTCATAGCAGTAAGTGGCTCCAATAAGAAATTTGAAACAAACAACTTAATGGCCCAACTGAAAGCCCTAGAAAAAAAAAAAAAGAAGCAGATAAACCCAAGAGGAGCAGACGGCTGGAAATAGTCAAACACAGGGCTGAAATCAATCAATTAAAAACAATTTAGAAACAGATAAAACTATTCAAAGAACCAACGAAAACAAGAACTGGTTCTTTGAGAAAATCAACAAGACAGACAAGCCCTTAGCCAAACTAGCTAAAAGGCAGAGAGAAACTATCCAAATCAGTAAAATCAGAAATGAAAAGGGGGACATAACTACAGACACTGAGGAAATCCAAACAATTATTAGGTCTTACTACAAAAGCCTATATGCCACAAAATTTGAAAGTCTAAACAAAATGGACAATTTTCTTGATAGATTCCATCTACCTAAATTAAGTGAAGATCAGGTAGGAAGACTAAATAGTCTCATATCCCCCAAAGAAATAGAAGCAGTCATCAAAATCTCCCTTCCAAAAAGAGCCCAGGGACAGATGGTTTCAGCGCAGAATTCTACCAGACTTTCAGAGAAGAGCTAACTCCAATTCTCTTCAAACTATTCCACAAAATAGAAACAGAAGAAATATTACCAAACTCATTCTATGAAGCTACAGTTACATTGATACCTAAACCACACAAAGACCCAACAAAAAAAGAGAACTTCAGACCTATCTCTTTTATGAATATTGAAGCAAAAATACTCAATAAAATACTTGCAAACAGATTCCAAGAACACATCAAAGATATCATCCACCGTGACCAAGTAGGCTTCATCCCAGGCACGCAAGGGTGGTTCAACATATGGAAATCCATCAATGTAATCCACCACATAAACAAAATGAAGGAGAAAAACCACATGATCATCTCCTTAGATGCCGAAAAATCATTTGACAAAGTCCAACACCCATTCATGTTTAAAATCTTGGAGAGATCTGGGATAAAAGGCACATATCTAAATGTAGTAAAGGCAATATACAGAAAGCCTATAGCCAACATCAAACTCAATGGAGAGAAACTTAAATCAATCTCACTGAAATCAGGGACAAGGCAAGCCTCCCCACTGTCTCCATATCTCTTCAACATAGTACTTGAAGTCCTAGCTACAACAACAAGACAACTAAAGGAGATCAAGGGGATACAAATCGGGAAGGAAGAAGTTAAAATATCACTGTTTGCAGAAGATATGATAGTATACATGAGTGACCCCAAAAATTCAACCAGAGAACTCCTTCAACTAATAAACACCTTCAGCAAAGTGGCTGGATACAAAATCAACTCAAAAAAAAAAAATCAGAAGCCTTCCTGTATACCACAGACAAAAAGGCCGAGAAAGAAATCAAGGAAACAACACCCTTCACAATAGCCACTAATAGCATAAAATACCTTGGGGTGACTTTAACCAAGCAAGTGAAAGACCTGTTTAAGAAAAACTTCAAGTCTCTGAAGAAAGAAATCAAAGAAGATATCAGAAGATGGAAAGATCTCCCATGCTCATGGATTGGTAGGATTAACATAGAGAAAATGGCCATTCTGCCCAAAGCAATCTACAGATTCAATGCAATTCCCATCAAAATACCACCACAATTCTTTACAGACCTTGAAAGAAAGATTCTCAGCTTCATATGGAGAAAGAAAAAACCCAGAATTTCCAAAACAATCGTGTACAACAACAATCATCTGGAGTTATCACCATCCCTGATCTCAAGCTGTACTACATAGTAATAGTAATAAAAACTTCATGGTATTGGCATAGAAAAAGAAAGGAGGATCAATGGAACTGAATGGAAGACCCAGAAACAAACCCACATATCTATGAATACTTGATTTTTGACAATCCAAAGCCAATCAATGGAAAAAAGACAGCATCTTCAACAAATTCTGCTGGTCCAAGTGGATGTCTATGTGTAGAAAAAGAAAAATAGATCCGTATTCATCAACCTTCACAAAACTAAAGCCTAAGTGGATCAAAGACCTCAACATAAAACCAGACACATTAAATCAGTTAGAAGAAAAAGTAGGGAAGACCCTAGAACTCATCATCACAGAGACTACTTCCTGAACAGAACACCAACAGCATAGGCTCTAACAGCAACAATAAATAAATGAGATTTCAGGAAACTTAAAAGCTTCTGTAAAGCAAAAGACACTGTCATCAATACAAAATGACAGTCTACAGACTGGGAAAGGATCTTCACCAACCCTTTATCTGACAGAGGGTTAATATCCAGTATATATAAAGAACTCAAGAAAATAAAAAAATAAACGAATCAAGTAATCTAATTAAAGAATGGGGCACGGAGTTAAACAGAGAACTCTGTATTTTTTTTTAATTTTATTTTTTTCTTATCAGTTACATTTTATTAACTCTGTATCCCAGCCGTGTCCCGATCCCTCATTCCCTCCCAGTCCCTCCCTCCCTCCCTCCTCTCCACCGTGCCCCTTGCCAAG